TGCCCTTCAAACAACGAACTAAAAAAGAAATGTTTAATTTGCTTAAAAATCTTCTAAATGAAGAGTTTGAGTGGGTTTTAAATCCATTTGCTGTAAGTATTAAAATGCAACATATTCCAATTTCTTTGCAAGAGCAACTGATTGACATGAGAGAAGATGGAAATTTGCAAGCCAATTTTGAACAAAACCTTTGCATAATTGGTGGATGGAATTGAAAATTGAAAATTAATGTCATGATTTAATGAGCTGAGCCCCACAATGCACCTCGTCCATCTGGATCTAGGTATCTTCGTGAGGCCTTCTTTTCAGCTGTGACAACCATTAAAACTGAATATTGAAATAAACTGAATTTAGAATGAGACACGCAAATCACTGTTCCACACAGTGTTTTCAGATTTCACAAACCAGGATTTTCAAAAATAAACAAGCATATTCAATCACGTCGCTCTGACTGTGAGAACAAAAGGGTTTTTATTAAATGAAATGCCATAAAATGGCTTTTAAATATATCATTTAAAATGATTCAAAGTATTTTTTCTTCATTTTAATTTATAATTTTAGAATGTATATAATGGATATAGCTTATAAATATATGTATAATGAGCATAACTTCTCTTATAATGTGTATATATTTTTAATATGTAAATACTAATATATTTATGTATATGTAGTTCATGTATATAATTTGTAAAGTATATAGATACGTCATTTTGGTTGTTTTTGGTTTGGTTTTGGTTTTGGTTTTTTGTTTTGTTTTTTTTTTTTTTGAGATGAAGTCTCGCTCTGTTATCCAGGCTGGAGTGCAATGGCGCTATCTCAGCTCACTGCAGCCTCCACCTCCTGGATTCAACTGATCCTCCCACCTCAGCCTTCCCAAGTAGCTGGGATTACAAGCAGGCACCACTACCTCCAGCTAATTTTTATATTTTTAGTAGAGATGGAGTTTCACCATATTGGCCAGGCTGATCTTGAACTCCTGACCTCAAGTGATCCACTTGCCTCAGCCTCCTAAAGTGCTGGGACTACAGGCACGAGCCACCACACCTGGCATCTATCTGTAATTTATAAACCAATAGTTACTAAGGTGCCTGCTCTACATTTTTTACCCATGGGATACGTAAATTACAGAGTTTGAGTTTGGGGGTGCGGCAGTGCCTGAGGGGCCCTCCAGTCCAGGATTGGACAACACACGGGGCCACGCTGACCTGGATGTGAGCCTTCATAATAAACATGTTCCTGAATTGGGTCTCACCTGCCCTGCAGAGGCAAAGCGTTGACTGGAGCTTCAGGCGTGTGCATGTTGTTGTTGTTGTTATTATTATTATTATTATTATTATTATTATTATTTTGAGATAGGATCTCACTTTGTGACCCACACTGGAATACAGTGGCACCAACATGGCTCACTGCAGCCTCAACCTCCCTAGGCTCAGGTGATCCTCTCACCTCAGCCTCCCAAGTAGCTAGGACTATAGGCAGGCACCACCACTCTCAGCTATTTTTGTACTTTTTTAAAAAAGAGATAGGAGGGGGGACGGACAAGGTGACACACACCTGTAATCCCAGCACTTTGGGAGGCCGAGGTGGGTGAATCATGACGTCAAGAGATTAAGACCATCTTGGCCAACATGGTGAAACTCTGTCTCTACTAAAAATACAAAAATTAGCTGAGCAGGGTGGCGGATGCCTGTAACCCCAGCTACTAGGGAGGCTGAGGCAGGAGAATTACTTGAACCCAGGGAACAGAGGTTGCAGTAAGCCGAGATGGCACCAGTGTACTCCAGCCTGGGCGACAGAGAAAGACTCCATCTCAAAAAAAAACGAAAAAAGAGATAACGAGGGTTTCACCATGTTGCCCAGGTTGGTCTCGAACTGCTGAGGGTCAAGAGATCCATCCGCCTCGGCGTCCCCAAGTATTGGGATTACAGGCATGAGCCACCACTCCCAGCCAGGTATGTGCATTTTATAGCTCGGGGGTCAGAGATCCAAAAGAGCAAGATCCCGGAGCAGCCCCACTGGAAAGACCATCATCTCCTCCCCTGGAAAAAGAAGGACCTCTCTCTCCACCACTCCACACCCCTCCCACTCAACAGGAGAAGGAAAACCTTCCTCCCACTCAGAGGGACTTCAGAGGCCCCAAAAGGGTAACTCTCTTTCCTGGAGCATCACAGCACGTTGGCAATGGAGACTAAGTGTGAACTCAGACACCCTGAGCACCAGTGCTGAGCTTTTACCTGCTCTGTTCTTGACCTCCATCTTGATGCAGAGCCTGGTTATTGGTTACCAAAATTCTCACTGTCCTCTCTACTGGAAACTCCTCCCTGCTACTCACTTTAGATTTGTGTGCTGCAAATAAAGCCTAGAATATTCAGGAGTCTAAACCCTCAAAGTCAATTCTCTGCCCCACTGAGGCAAAGAACATCTCTTTCCAATCTTTTGGGTCTGTCTTAACCCCAAAGAAGAGGGACTTCCAGAGAAAAGTGAAGTCTGCACCTCTGCTACCTTCTCAGGGGGCTCAGCACCTCCCTGAAGCAACAGGACCTCCCTAAGGCACTCATATGTTCATATGATTTATGTCATTCCCTCCCTGTGCTTGCCCTGCTTAAAGGCTCCTCCTGTATCTCCACTGCCCACCACAGAAAATTCCCACTGCTCAGGCCAATCTATACCCTGGTCCCACTCATTTGCATCAGTCACCTGCAGGAAACAGAAGCCACATTAGCTAGTGTAAGCAGAGAGGAATTTCATGCAGTATTCTGTCCTTAGAAAATAATCGAGAGAGCTAGAGGAGCAAGCTGCACTGCAGGAATAGCTCCCAAAACACAGGGGCGGAACACCCCACCTGGGAGGCTCGCCCTCTGCTATTGTCAGGAGATAAGGAATCAGGAGTGGCCGGGCATGGGCGCAGTGGCTCATGCCTGTAATCCCAGCACTTTGGGAGGTCAAGGCAGGCCGATCACTTGAGGTCAGAAGTTCAAGACCAGCCTGGCAACATGGTGGTCTCTACTAAAAATACAAAAAAAAAAAAAAAAAAAAAAAAGTTAGCCAGGTATGGTGGCACACACCTGTAGTCCCAGCTACTTGGGAGGTGGAGGTGGGAGAATTGCTTGAACCCAGGAGGTGGAGGTTGCAGTGGGCTGAGATTGTGCCACTGCACTCCAGCCTGGGTGACAAAGTGAGACTCCATCTCAAAAAATAAAAATAAAAATGATTACCAAGCCAGGCACGGTGGCTCATGCCTGTAATCCCAGCCCTTTGAGAGGCTGAGGTGGGAGAATCACTTGAAGCCAGGAGTTTGAGACCAGCCTGTGCAACATGATGTAACCACATTCCTAAAAAAAAAAAATTCTTCAATTACTATTGAGATATTTCATATCATTTTTCATACTGAGTCTTTAAAATCTGAATTGTAATTTGCACCAACAGCACATCTTTATTTAGCCACATTTCAAGTGCTCGGTATCCACACAAGACTAACACTGACAGGAGATGGCTCAGCTCTGGCCTTTTGTAGGGCTCTTGGTTCACCAGGCTGAGATTTGGGGGCCTTTTCTGTCTATGAGTCATGCTCTCCCATGAACAATGTGCCCCTTGGGGGCAGGAGCCTTGTCCCATTCATCTCTATATCCCACGTCTGAATGCAGGGACAATCAATAAATGTTTTGTTTTGTTTTGTTTTTTTGAAATAGAGTTTTGCTCTGTCACCCCGGCTAAGTACAGTGGTGCGATCTCGGCTCATTGCAACCTCCATCTCCCAGGTTTAGGTGATTCTCCTGCCACAGCTTCCCAAGTAGCTGGGATTACAGGCACCCACCACCATGCCTGGCTAATTTTTATAGTTTTAGTAGAAACGGGATTTCACCATGTTGACAAGGCTGGTCTCGAACTCCTGACCTCAGGTGATCCGCCCATCTCGGCCTCCCAAAGTGCTGGGATTACAGGCAGGAGCCACCACACCTGGCCAAATAAATGTATTTTGAATGAATAAGTAATGTGGGTTCTCTACAAGAAAAAAACTCAGTCAGAAATTATATTTCTTAGTGTGTTTAACTGATTCTCTCTCTCTCTTTTAGTGAGAGACAACAGAATACATCAAAATACAGGCTAAGTTTTTTGTTTGTTTGTTTTTGTTTTCATCTACTCGGACTCTCTTCTCTCAGAAGAGTAGATGTTGGACAAGGTGCCCCTATCAACTAGGGAAATCGTGTATTTTGAGGCTCCCTCACTTTAGACCAGCGCCCCCAGACCAGGTTCTGCCATCAGCGTCCTCCCCCCACCATGGCTGAACACCCCCTTACAACATTCCGCGACCTCTGGCCCTTCTAGAACAGGGAGAAGGTTGGAGCCATGAAGAAGGAGCGACCAGACTTCTGGTTTTCCTGACATCACCCTCCAATGCCCTCCTCTCAGGGAACTCCCACCTTGGGGCACAGACCAGACGAAGGACAGAGATAGCCCATGAGCGAAGGAACAGCTACAAGCCCCTTCTCAAAGCCCTCCAGACACTTCAGCCTCCTTTCCTTGAGTGAGAGGCCCCATCCCAGGCTACAGTCATTACTGTGAAAGGAGAGGAAGAAGAAAAGACAGGCTCGTGCCTAGCCTTGCTTCCAATGGGCCCGTACCTGCGCCTGTCCCAACGTGACCCAGCACAAAGCGGGGCTGCAGAGGGTCTCCTGCCCACTGGCCTCCTGCTTTGTCAAGGCCCTCACTCTCTGCCAGCTCTGCCAACCGCTGGCCTCTGACCCAGCCAGCACCTGAGGGGTGCCCGCTGCACACCTTGATCCTAGCAATGCCCTGTCCAAGCAAGGTCTCCCTGACCACATGGTGCCACAAGAAGGCCAAGCAGGAACTCGGGAGCACCTCACACACACCCGGCCCCAAAACCTGCCACCCAGCGCTTCCCTTCCTGCTGCCTATGCCAGCCCCACCTGAGCTCACTGGACCCAGCAGGGGTGGGGCCTCCTGCTGTCAGGGCCGAGGTGCAGAGCCCGCCCCGCCCGGAGGGGAGGGGAAAGGGCGGGCAAGCTGCTCTTAAGGCAGGTCTGGAGGTGATCTGGCTGCCTCTCCTGACTCCTCACCTGGACTGTGAGTCGTCCTGATCCAGTAGTGAATGCAACAGCCTGCCCACCTGTGGACACCAGGTAGGTGCCTTTATTCTTTAAGAACAGAAGCACTGAGCACCTTTACTGGCCCTGACCCATTTAACCATTTAATTTTTTTTTTTTTTTAATTTTAAAGAGTCTTGCTCTGTGGCACAGGCTAGAATGTAGTGACACAATCTCAGCTCACTGCAAACTCCACCTCCTGGGTTCAAACAATTCTTCTACCTCAGCCTCCTGAGTGGCTGGGATTACAGGCAGGTGCCGGTTAATTTTTCTCTGTTAAGTAGGGACAGAGTTTCACCATGTTGGCCAGGCTGGTCTTGAACTCCTGACCTCAGGTGATCCTCCCACCTTGGCCTCCCAAAGTGCTGGAATTACAGGAGTGAGCCACCACACCTGGCCTCATTAAACCTTTTGTCCTCAGCTTCTCCACCTCTCAGGGCTCAGCGTGAAGGTGGGAGAAATGGGGTAGAGGATGTGGACGAGACAGAGATGGTCTCAGGATCGCAGACTGCAGAGTTCAGCACTTTAAGGGAACTAAACCCGGGCCCCTCGGTGAAGAGATGGGAGAGCTGAGGGCAGGGAGAAGAGGCTTGCCTGAGGTCATGAAAAGGGACTGGACGAGGAACCCAGGCCTCCTGCCTCCCAGTGCTCCGGGAGCTCTCTGGGCCCTTCGGAGGTAGGCAGGAATGGGAGGCGGGTGGCTGGCCTTCACTGTTCCTGCAGGTCCCTGCCTGCTATCCACGTCCTGGGTCACCGGGACTGGGTGGGACGGATGGGAAGATCAGGAGCCAGTTTTCAAAAATAGGGGGTGCAGTGGAGATTGGGCTAATGAGGCAAAGTGCTTTTGGGGAGACTCAGGCTTCACCCTTGCCCCACCCTCTCCCTTCACCAACCTGGGCTCATAGGGAGAGAGTAAGGAGAAGAGGTTGGCAATGACAGGGAAGAGGGACTTTACCAAGGTACCAGAACTCCCCAGAGCCCTTGGGGACTAAGAGATCTGAATCAGAATCGGAAGCTGGAGCAGGTGGGGGGCACCTATAAATGGGGCAGAAGAGGCTGGAGCCCTCCTTACCACCCCCCCTCCTCCCCAGGCATCCCAACCACGCAGAGCCCTGGGCCCAGAGACTCTCCCCACCACTTACAGCAAGAAAGCGCAAGTCACAGAAGGGGACAGCGTTCAGGAATACAGGAGTAAGACCGAGCCCTGCCCTGGGACATCCAAGGGCCAGGCAGAGCCTTAAAAGTGAAAGAAGGCTAAAGAGGAGCTTAGGAGCTGCCTGCTCGCCCTGCGCTCGGCTCCAGGTCTGTCCCTCCTGGTTCCAGAATCCCAGAAGGGGCAGCAGTGGACAGGGGTCTTAAATCTGTGAAGCAACCACAGAGGCTAAAAGTGTGGGACCGTGGAGCAGGACGACCCGGGTTCAAACCCCATGTCACATTCCGGTTGCATGACCTTGGGCAGATTCCTCCACCTCTCCAGCCCTGCGGCAATAGTACCCTCCTCAGAGAACTGTTGAGAGCATTCGAGGTGTTCAGTATCATATCCCTATCATACAGATGGGACAACTGAGGTCTGCCCAGAGAGGAAAGGACACTTGCCCAGGGTGGCACAAAAGCTGTGTCCAAATTAGTAAGCAGGTATCCTGGGTCCTGGTCGTGAGGGGACACGCAGCCCTTCTTGAGCTCTGCAAAGTCAGCAGCCACCGCCTCCTCTGCAGGGCACAGCCAGAACACCCTGCAGGGAGCGCCCAGATCCTGTCCCAACAAACCCAGGCACTTGGAGCCTGTGTGGGAAAAGCTGAGGTTCCGGCTCTGTGTCCTCAGCTGTCCCGGGAAGGAGGGAGCCGGCTCCCTTCCACTGCCGTTTATAGACAACTTCCCGTGCCTGGGATACCCCGCCCCCTGCAGGACCTGGCCAAGGCAAAGTCTGGCATCAGACCTACCGGAGCCGCAGGGGTGAGGGGAGGCAGGAGAGGGGAAAGGGGCCTGGCTTTGCTCAGGAAACCTGTGTGGCCTTCAGCCAATCATGCTGCAGCTCTAGACCCCAGGAGTCCCTCTGCACTTGGATTCCATGTGGCATAAGGAAATAAGATTCCAAAATCCCACACCTGGGTTTGAATCCCAGCTCCACCATTTTTCTTGATGTGAAGCATGTTTCTCGACCTCTCCGAGTCTCAGTATCTTCATCTGTAAAATAGACTGACAACTCAAAACAAATAAGTCTGGGCACAGTGGCTCACACCTGTAATTCTATCACTTTGGGAGGCTGAGGAAGGAGGATCACTTGAGTCCGGGAGTTCAAGACCAGCCCAGGCAACAAAGTGGGACCCTGTTTCTACAAAAAAATTCACCGGGTGTAGTGGCACAGGCCTGTAGTCCCAGCTACTTGGGAGGGTGAGCTGGGAGAATCGCTTGAGCCCCAGGAGGTCAAGGCTGCAGTGAGCCATGACTGTGCCATGCACTCTAGCCTGCGCAACAGAGCAAGACTCTGTCTCAAGAAGAAAATTAAGAGGACTGACAATAGGGGTGCAGCGCTTCCCGGAGCTGCAAGGGCGTTGAGTTACCAAGTATAACTCGTGCGTAAACCACCTAGCACATGGTCAGTGCCCAATAAATGGAAGCTACTATTACGAGAGTGTTATACTCCTTAAGTCCTGATTTCTAAGGATTATTTAGAATTGCCTAACTACCTTCACAAGGAGCACCTCACTAGCTCTGTAACACCCTCCGGGAGGGTGCAGGGCAGAAATCCTCATTCCCATCTCACAGATGAGGAAACTCAGGGTCAGTCACACCGCAAGGAGCTATTTGAGCTGCAAGTCAAATCTAAATCTTCAGCTCCCAGAGTCTACTTTCTCTTCTCCCGGGCTAGTCTCGGATTCCTTTTCCAGGGCTAAGGTCTGACTCCAAAGCAGGATGTAAAGGAGGCCTCTTGGCCATGAGGAGAAAGAGAGTTGGGGAGCGTTGCTGGGGCTGGGGGCAGGCAGCAAAGCTCAGAGCACGCAGTGGGAATGCAACCAGCATGTCCCAGCTCTGTCCAGTTTTCCTGGCAGCCTCATTCCCAGAACCTCTTACCTCCTGCCAAGCCCCACCTGCAAGAAACTAGCATGTGGCATTAAGGCTAGACAATGGAAAGCACTTTTCACAGGAAGGAAAATGAGGTTGAGATACCGCTTTCCCAAATGAGCCCCAAGGAAATGAATATCATCTGATGATGTCACTCCCCAGCTCAAAACTTTTCAGAGGCTCCCTGTTACCCTAGGGTTGAGCTGGCAGTCTTGAGCCCAGCCTGCAAGGCTCTGCCGGGTCTGGCCAGCCTGCCTCCCCCGCCCCATCTCCTCCATCCATCCCAGGTGCTCTGTTACTCAGGTGCTCAATAATGTCTTTCGAGCTTCCTTGCTGGCCAGAATCTTGCACAGATGGTCCCCTCTATTTTATTTGTTTGTTTGTGTGGTGGCAGAGTCTCACTCTGTTGCCCAGGCTCGAGTACACTGGCTCGATCTCAGCTCACTGTAACCTCTGCCTCCCAGGTTCAAGCAATTCTCCCACCCCAGACTCCTGAGTAGCTGGAATTACAGGCATGCACCACCATGCCAGCTGATTTTATATTTTTGGTAGAGATGAGGTTTCACCTTGTTGGCCAGGCTGGTCTCGAACTCCTGATCTCAGGGGATCTGCCCGCCTCAGCCTCCCAAAGTGCTGGGATTACAGATGTGAGCCACCACACCCAGCCGTATCCATGCTTTTAAATGAATGAATAAATTGGCCCTTGTATGGCGGGTGGGGAAGCAGGGTCTTCACCTACAGAAGTTACTCCATTCCCACTCTTGGACTCTTGCAGATCCTGGGAGCTCCTGGTTGGCAAATGAGATCTACGGGATGTCAGTGAGGCTGGTTGAAAACCAGAGGTAAACTGCAGAGGTCGCCGCCCCCACCATGTCCCAGGTGATGTCCAGCCCACTGCTGGCAGGAAGCCACACTGTCAGCTTGACACCTCGTGATGAGCCCAGAAGGTCCCTGCACCCAGCCCCCAGCCCCAGCCTGCCACCCCAGTGTTCTTACTACACCACAGAAGGCTGGGGAGCCCAGGCCCTGATGGCCCCCATGCCCTGCATGGGGCCCCCTGGCCGACTCCAGCAAGCCCCACAGGTGGAGGCCAAAGCCACCTGCTTCCTGCCATCCCCTGGTGAACAAGCCTTGGGGACCCCGGAGGACCTTGACTCCTACATTGACTTCTCACTGGAGAGCCTCAATCAGATGATCCTGGAACTGGACCCCACCTTCCAGCTGCTTCCCCCGGGGACTGGGGGCCCCCAGGCTGAGCCGACCCAGAGCACCACGTCAATGAGAAAGAAGGAAGAACCTGAAGCCTTGGGTAAGGATTTGGGGTGCAGTACCAGGAGGGGGGCTTGGCGCCAGACCTCAGGAGGAAGAAGGACTTTCCTATGTACCGAGAAGGGGACAATGTCCTGTTGGGAAACGCCGTGCAAACCTAACCACATTACCAACCCCTCTGTTTTCTGTGCTACACAAAAGGGATAAACACAAGTTTCCCTCACTAGCCCATTCTATTTGGTTCCTGAGTTCGGAAAATGATAGATTCCTATTTTGTATGATTTTATGAGTACTTAAATAAGCTACTATAGAAACTGTTTTGTGCAGGCCGGGCACAGTGGCTCACACCTGTAATCCCAGCACTTTGGGAGGCTGGGGCAGGTGGATCACAAGGTCAGGAGTTCAAGACCAGCCTGGCCAAGATGGTGAAACCCCATCTCTACCAAAAATACAAAAATTAGCCAGGTACTGTGGCAGGTGCCTGTAATCCCAGCTACTTGGGAGGCTGAGGCAGGAGAATTGCTTGAACCCAGGAGACGGAGGTTGCAGTGAGCCAAGATCATACCACTGCACTCTAGCCTGGGCAACAGAGCATGACTCCATCTCAAAAAAAAAAAAAAAGAAAAAGAAAAAGAAAGTGTTTCGTATAATGCCATGCCCATAAGGAAGAGCTCAGTAAATGTGGATCCCTGACCCCCACTGCCCTAGGGTGTCTCACCTCAGAGCCTAACCTGGGCCCCCTGGAATTTTGGTAGGGTCACTATCTGGACCTCTGTCCTTGTTTAGGGGAGTATCTCTTTGGAGAGGCCACACTGGAAATGGTAGGATTGAGTAAGGACCTGGTAGTGTTCAAGCGGTGGTATGCTGGTGAATGTTTACCTGGCTCCCTGCTTGGGGAGCAGGGGCAGAGGGAGCTGATTTGAAGCTTCTGCCCATTTCCACAGCGTAAATCTCCCACCATGGCCTGTTTCAAGCTACCAACATGATGTCACTGAATGAGGAGCTAGAGACGCATGCAGTAGCAGGCTATGACAAAGCATTGCCACCACACCAACACAACAGACGTAGAGAACCCCGAGAGTGCAGATAATAGTACCCTGTAGCAAAATAATTGGGATGTGATGGACTTTGAGTATTTACTACCTTCGTGTTTAACGTAAGTTACTTCATTGTAAGTGCATGTAATTATTCATAATGGCTGAGTTTAGTAACCAGCTGGACAAAATCCTGAAAATTTAACAACCAGCTCTTAACCAGCTGATGCAAGCCAATTCGCGTGCACCACCAAGTCCAAAGGAACCTGGAAATTCCCACATCTGGCTTCAGTTTCCTGAACAAAGACTTTCAAGTATTCTCTGAGGATGAGGGTACAAGGAGCTGCCCCATTAAACAGGTTGGAAGACTGAGGTCTCCAAGGCTTTAAACTACCAGCAAGGGTGATGGGGTGCATGATTAGGATAGAGATGGGAGCCATAAGATCTTCCACTTATTGGACACGTGTTATATATCAGGCAGTGTGCCGTGTCTTTTGTGTAGAATCTTCAATCCTCTCAATCCACTCCCTGAGTTAAATATTTCTTTTTCTTTTTCTTTTTTTTTTTTTTTTTTTTCTGCAACAGAGTCTCTCTCTGTCGCCCAGGCTGGAGTACAACAGCACAATCTCAGCTCACGGCAACCTCTGCCTTCCAGGTTCAAGAGATTCTCCTGCCTCAGCCTCCCAAGTAGCTGAGATTACAGGCTCCTGCCACCACACCCAACTAATTTTTGTGTTTTTAGTAGAGATGGTCTAGGCTGGTCTCAAACTCCTAGGCTCAAGTGATCCACCTGCCTTGGCCTCCCAAAGTGCTGGGATTACAGACATAAGCCACTGTGCCCAGCGAATATTTTACCTCCATTTTGCACATGAGAAAGCCGGGGCTGCTGGGGTTGAGTTAAGGAGGCAGTCTAGCCTAACGGTTGGCGTCGGGCAGAGCGTTCACAAGCTCCTTGCTTCACTGCTTTGCACTGCAGATTCCTCATCTGAGAAATGGAGGCAATGAGGGTTCTTACCTCAAAGCTGTTACAGGGATTGAAAGAAATTACATTCGTTGGCTGCTTATCACACATCCTGGCACACTGCAAGCCACGATAAATGGTAGCTGTTTTTATTAAACATTAGGGGTTGCACGTCGGGCCAGCCCCAGAGTAGCTTTAGGCTTAGGGTGGAGGCCAGCTCAGCACCCAGGCCCTCTGGCACCCTGGGGTTCCTGGGCTCCTGGGCTCCTGCCTGCTCTGCCCGCTCCCACCAAGTACTACCTGCCAGGCCTGTTAAAGAAACCGTCCCTCAAGGGTCTTCCTGTTTCTTAAGGCCAGTCACGGGCACGTCACTGCAGGAAAGGCGTCTTGGGCCTAATTACTGTTGGCAGGAGCAAGCCCAGGGTTTTACCATTCATGGCCCAAGGCAGGCTTTCCACATGTCCAAGGCCGGCTGGGCCAAAACCAGTCCCTGTGGAACATCCACACACATTGGATGGGGGTTAGTGACAACCGGGCCCTTCCTCCACCGAAGGGACTCATGATCAGCTTGGGGCTGATGGCATGGGTCCACATCCACAGATGCCGTGGGCACCACATGCCACTGTGGACACATGTCCACACAACTCTGGGGAACAGGGAACACAAGGCAGGCCCTGGCCAGAGGGTCCTGGGGAAGCTGCCTTGCTGTGCCCTGGCCCCTTCTGATGGAGAAAAAAAAAAAAAAAAAACCCTTCCTCTAACCTCCAGTGCCTGGGAGCTCACTACCTGCTAAGACAGCCCAGCCAGGTCAGCTCCCCATTGGGAAAGTTCTCCACCATCACTAAGAATAACAGATACCTGCACCAAAATCCTCCCCACAGACCCTGCTACTGGTGACCAAGCTCTCACTGGCTCATGGCAGTGCAAGTAACTGAGCATCGTGGTGAGTTCTCTTTTTTTTTTTTTTTTTTTTTTTGAGAGGGAGTTTCGCTCTTGTTACCCAGGCTGGAGTGCAATGGCGTGATCTCGGCTCACCGCAACCTCCGCCTCCTGGGTTCAGGCAATTCTCCTGCCTCAGCCTCCTGAGTAGCTGGGATTACAGGCACGCGCCACCATGTCCAGCTAATTTTTTGTATTTTTAGTAGAGACGGGGTTTCACCATGTTGACCAGGATGGTCTCGATCTCTCGACCTCGTGATCCACCCGCCTCGGCCTCCCAAAGTGCTGGGATTACAAGCTTGAACCACCGCGCCCGGCCGAGTTCTCTTACCTCTAAATGTATTCAGAGTGGAGGACGCACTGCCATTTTATAATCTCGTCCTTTCTACAATTGGGCTATGCAAGTGAAGACATTCTGACATTGTGCTAGGACATGTTTACTGTTCCTCTTCGTCCTAACTTGGCAAAATTTAAAAATTAAACATGGGCAATTCTATATTATTGACTTTTCCCCTAAATACATATAGATTTTTTTTCTGAGACAGGGTCTAGTTGTGTTACCCAGGCTGGAGTACAGCGGTGTGATGGTAGCTCACTGCAGCCTTGAACGCCTAGGCTAAAGCAATCCTTCCCCCTCAGCATCCCCAGTAGTTGGGACTACAGGCACATGTCACCACTCCTGGTTAATTTCTTTCTTTTTTTTTCTGGTGGGTGACAGAGTCACCAGTTTCAAGCGATTCTCGTACCTCAGCCTCCTGAGTAGCTGGGATTACAGGTGCCCGCCACCATGCCCAGCTAATTTTTTTGCATTTTTAGTAGAAATAGGGGTTTCACCATGTTGGCCATGCTGGTCTCGAACTCCTGACCTCAAGTGATTCACCAGTTTCAGCCTCCCAAAGCGCTGGGATTACAGGCATGAGCCACCACACCCAGCCAACCCAGCTAATTTTTAAACTTTTTGTAGAGATGCAGTCTCGCCATGTTGCCCAGGCTACCTCAAGTGATTCTCCTTCCTCAGCCTCCCAAAGTTCTGGGATTACAGACAGTGAGCCACATCGCCCAGCCCAGACTTAAAACAAAACAAAACAAAACAAAAAAACTAGTCCACGTACCAGCCTGGCCAACATGGCGAAAACTCAACTCTACCAAAAATACAAAAATTATCTGGGTGTGATAAAAATTATCTGGCACACACCTATATACACCTGTAGTCCCAGCTACCTGGGAGGCTGAGGTGGGAGAATCACTTGAGCCTGGGAGGTGGAGTCTGCAATAAGCCCAGATCCCACCACTGCAATCCAGCCTAGGCAGCAGAGTGAGACCCTGCCTTAAAAAAAAACAAAAAACAAAAAAACAAAAGAGAGTTCATGTAACATATGATCCCAGTGTATGGCTTTGAAAGGCATAGTGGAAACCTCCTTTGACAGATGAGGAAACTGAGGCTCAGGGTGGGTATGTGGTGGCTCACAGTCACACAGCCAGGGAGAGATAGGTCAGGCCCCAAACCCCCACCTGCTGGGCTCCGTAGGAACTCTTTCTCTCTTTCTAAAGTCTAGTCTTCTGCCTGCTGGGGCATCACGGAATCCATTCATTTGGAGGCAGCCTACAGGCTCCTCTTCTGAGACCCGACCTCCTGGGCACTTCACAAACCTTCCCCGGGTTCCCTGTCCCTGCCTTCTTTTAAACTTGCCCTGGGGGTCCCCATCCCACAGGGAACGTGGTTTCTAGATGCAAACACCATATCCATTTCTTCATCCTCTCCACCACCCCACCCCATCTTTGAAAGCAGGCCCACACTTTCATTTTCCAGCAATTTCTGCCAGGCAAGGCTGTTTACCAGCCCCGAGTGAAGGGCACGTAATAACCGTCTCTCCACCCCCCACCCACGTGCCCTCCCTCCACCCACCCACCCACCTGGGGCTGGCGCCGGCACCCACCCGACACTGCTCAGACTTGCCCCACAGGCCAGTAAACAGCCACTGCACCCCCGCAAAGGGTGGAGGGCCCCAACCCCGCCCCCCAAGCCACACCCACCTCGGGACAGCAGAGGGAGAGGTGAGTACGGGCTCCTCCCTCCCCCCACCCCCACTCTCCTTAGTCTGTGCCCCCAGCAAGGTCCCTGGTGGAAGTTTAGATGACCCAGTGAGTAGGGAGCCCAGAGCTTCACCAGGCCAAGAGAACCTCCTGAAAGCAGCCAAGCACCTTCTCACAGGGCAAGGCCTTGGAACAGGGTCCCAAGGAGCCTCTCCTCACCCTGGAAGAAGCAGTCCCCAAACAGAGCACAGCAACACTCCCTGGCTGTGCAGCATTGGATAACTCACTTCACCTCTCTGAGCCTTGATTTCTCACCTGTTATATGGGCGTAATAATATTCCCTACGTCAATAGCGCTGTCGTGAGGGTTAAAGGAGCTAATACAAGCAACGTGTTCATAGTGGTCCTGGCACACAGCACTCAGTACTAGCCTTTATGAAACATGGTTGTACAAGAAGTGTTAGCTCCGCCCCCACTCTTCTCCAAGCCTCAGTTTCCTCCTCTGTAAAAAGTAGTATCTGCCCTGCTGTTATGAGGTTCAGAGGAGATTATGGGTGTAAACACTATAAAGTCCTATAAAAATTGAAGTTGGCTGGCGCGGTGGCTCACGCCTGTAATCCCAGCAACTTTGGGAAGCCGAGGCGGGTGGATCGCCTGAGGTCAGGAGTTTGGAACCAGTCTGGCCAACATAGTGAAACCCCATCTCTACTAAATATACAAAAAATTAGCTGGGCATGGTAGCGGGCACCTGTGATCCCAGCTACTCAGGAGGCTGAGGCAGGAGACTGGATTAAATCCAGGAGGCAGAGGTTGCAGTGAGCTGACATCGTGCCATTGCACTCCAGCCTGAGCAACAAGAGTGAGACTCCATCTCAAAAAGAGAAAAAAAAAAAAAACATTGAAGTTGTGCTTTCCAGCCTTCCAGAAGAATCCAACCCATTCTCCATTTGGCCAATACTGCCCCCTAAAAGCAGGCAGGTAAGAAATGCTCCTTTCTCAAGGCTCACCATGGGCCAGGCTCCAGGCTGTTGTATTTCATCCTCATCACAAGCTTGCAAGACTGGTTTCAGATCCTCACTTTTCAGATAAGGAAACTGAGGCTCAGAGAGGTTAGGAAAGTTACACAGCGCCCTTGGCTGAAGAGCCACAAAGCCAGGACTCACCCCAGGTTTGACTGGCTACAAAGCCAGGCTCTTCCTCCACCTGCTAAGCAGCAATCCCGGGTCAGCTGCCAGCCCTTGCTCTTCTGATGTAATCCCCCACCCCCACCGTGGCCCAAACAGGCTCAGACAGAGGCAGTCACCATGAGCAGGACCAGGTGGCCCTACCCAGGAGCAGGCTGGGGCAGGCTGGGGCTCCACAGTCGTAATGGGGAGAAACAGTCCATGTGCCAGGGCCCCAGGCAGGTGGAGCTGAGGGTGCACGCTCTCCCCAATTTCCCCAGCCTCCATCCCAGGAAGCCAGAGGCAAGACTCACACTCTCAAGAAGGGAGCAGCTGGTTAACCCCCACTTTCCTCCAGCTTTGCTGGAACAGCACCAAGGACAATTCCCCTCCCCCAGGTCAGGAGGATGGGTGTCCATTGAGCAGGGCAGCCCACTCCAAGGCTGACCTCGGGAGAGGAAGAAGGCCTCAGAATCCCGAGAGTCCTGGGTGCCCCCACTGGGGAGTGGAAAGAGCGCTGGAGCGAGTCAGCAGCCTGGGGTGAGTTGCTTAACCCCTGTGCACCAGCTAGAAGCCCCAGGAGACCCGCAGCTCAAGAATGCGGCAAGCCCTGCGCTCTGGAGTGCCTGCTCCAAAGCGGAATTCTCAAACTCTTTGGATGCATATTCACATGCCCTGGGTGGCCGTCCTAAAGAGCGGATGCTATTTCTGTAGGGATGGAGCACGGGTAATGTGGTCTTGCTGGGCCATTCATGGTCTACTGGACACACCTGAAAAACTGGAAAACAAACAAAACTGAGGCCTGGTTTCACCCCCTGGAGAGTCTAATCCAATTGGCATGAGGTGCAGCCTGGGGTGATTCTAGTTCGTAATCAAGCTTGAGAATCCCTGCTTCCATTGCAGGTACAAAAAACAACCACCACTTTCTCTTTATGTATTTAATTTTTTTTTTTTTGTTTTTGGAGACGGAGTTTCCCTCTTATCACCCAGGCTGCTGGAGTGCAGTGGCGCAATCTCGGCTCACTGCAACCTCTGCCTCTCAGGTTCAAGCAATTCTCGTGCCCCAGCCTCCCAAATAGCTTGGATTACAGGAGCCCAGCTAGTTTTTGTATTTTTGGTCGAGATGGGGTTTTGCCATGTTGGCCAGGCTGGTCTCGAACTCCTGACCTCAGGTGACCCACCCACCTCAGCCTCCCAAAGTGCTGGGATTACAGGTGTGAGCCACCTCGACTGGCCTCAGGAAAACCACTTTCACTCACCCTGAGTAGCAGAGGCATCAGAAAGTGTCACTGGTACAGCCCATCAAGTGGTCATTTCAACCTAGAAACGGCACAGACAAGGGAGAGGGTTGCACCGTTTTTAAGCACCTGCACTGTGCCGGGAACAGTGCTGCCTGTGTGAGTTCCACTTCGTCCTTTCTGTAACACCAAGAGGCTGGATGCAGTTGTCCCGCTTTACAGGTGTGGAACTGAGGCCCTGAGTCAGACGTCCCCAAACTTTTTACACCGGGGGCCAGTTCACTGTCCCTCAGACCGTTGGAGGGCCGCCACATACTGTGCTCCTCTCACTGACCACCAATGAAAGAGGTGCCCCTTCCTGAAGTGCGGCAGGGGGCCGGATAAATGGCCTCAGGGGGCCGCATGCAGCCCGCGGGCCGTCGTTTGGGGACGCCTGCCCTGAGTAGTGAAGTCTTTTGGCCAAACTCTCAGAGAATAAGCGGCAGAGCCAGATCTGAAGCCTGGGTCTGTCTGATTCCAAGGCCTGGGTTCTCTACTGCATCTCCTTACCCAAGGGAAGTTGTCACAGGGAGGGTGACTTTGGAACTGGGTCCAGAGGTGGAGTTGGGCTGTCCTCTCTGGGCCTCAGTTTCCTCATCACTATAAAAGAGGAGGGACAGGATGACCTTGAGGACGCCTCCAGTGTTTCTAGCCTGTGAGTCTGGGCTCCCGGGTTTCACCAGTGCTCTGCTTTTCTTCCCAAAGATATAAAGTACATCGAGGTGACCAGATCCAGGTGCCATGATGACCCCCAGCGCTGCTCCAGCCCCTCTGTCACCCCACCCTTCGGCTCCCCTCGCAGCGGTGGCCTCCTCCTTTCCAGAGATGTCTCCCGAGAGACCCGAAGCAGCAGTGAGAGCCTCATCTTCTCTGGGAACCAGGGCAGGGGGCACCAGTGCCCTCTGCCCCCCTCAGAGGGTCTCTCCTCTCAACCCCCAAATTCCCCCAGCATCTCCATCCCTTGCATGGGGAGCAAGACCTCAGGCCCCCATGGCTTGGGCTCCCCGCTGGTGGCTTCTCCAAGATTGGAGAAGAGGCTGGGAGGCCTGGCCCCACAGCAGGGCAGCAGGGTCTGCGTGCTGTCAGCCAGCCCATTGTCTGATGCCAGCTATACGTTTGGAAGGTAGGTTCTGTAGCTTCTAACACTGCACACACACAACACACACACACACACACACACACACACAGAGGCACACGTGCACACACTCCCTAAAATCATTAAAAGGCACCCTGCTCTGTCTGAGCAAAGTCTGGGCATGCACCAAAAGCAAGATCGAGTGTTCGCTTTCATAGCCATTCAGATCTCAAGCTGTCCTCAAGTACTGAGAATACGATTCAATATAGAAAACCTTGACTTATATCTCCCTGTTGGGAAAAGAGCTGTTGCTTTAATGAGGCTCATCTATATCCTTTCCAGCCCTCAGACAACCCATCTCAGGGAAGGGTTTTTCTAAACCCCAAAACACAAGGCTATAAACAGAATGGGGGGGGGGGGGCCTGAGATTAACCATTTAGGAGTAAAAAGGCTCCTTCCTCTTTGTTGCTGGCAAAACCTAGCAAAGGAGGGAGGCAGCCTTGCCTGGGCATTACTTACAATCCCAGTTGAGTTCTCCATAGACCTCACAGCAGAATGCACGCACGTGCACACCCATCCTGTCCCAGGAAGACAGAATCCCGGGACTCTGTCTCCCATTCCACCGCCAAAGCCACTGGCCAAGGCAGTCCCTGGCACAGAGGCTGGGGATTCCGTAGCCATGCCCATTGGCACGGGCCTCTGAACTCAGGGAGAAGTCTAGCTGGCCCCCTTCTGCAGCTGGGGAGTTTCCTCTGCATCAGCTGCGGTGTGTTCCAGCATCGCTCCAGCCCATCTGCAGGGCACCTGGGAGTCATGGGGGCCTGAGAGGTCCTGATGAGACAGCTCAGTCAGGACGACCTGGCTGGGAAGGCAGAGGGAGTGTGGGCCAGCCTATGCCCAAGGCCTGCAGGGGTCAGCTCACTGGCTACTTTAAGTGACCCAAGACCCTGCCATCCAGGCACATTTCTGTATCCTTACCATCCCTTGAGGATTGTATGGGTGTGCACTTTGCTCTGGGCTGTGGGGGGTGGGGTAGGCACTGTCCTATTTGGCCAAAGCCACAGGAACCCAAATCACTAGATCCAGAGCCTGGCTCTAGCCCGAGCCACCTGCTGCCCTAACACCCTGTCTGACTCTCTCTCCGCTGCAGCAGCCAGTCCCTCCTGCACTCCAGCATCTCCAGCCATCAGTCATCTTCCAGATCCTTGGAAAGTCCTGCCAGCTCTTCCTCCAGCCTCCACAGCCTTGGCTCAGTGTCCCTTTGTACAAGACCCAGTGACTTCCAGGCTCCCAGAAACCCCACCCTAACCGTGGGCCAACCCAGATCACCCCACTCTCCACCACTGGCCAAAGAACATGCCAGCAGTTGCCCCCCATCCGTCACCAACTCCATGGTGGACATACCCATTGTGCTGATCAACGGCTACCCAGAACCAGGGTCTTCTCCACCCCAGTGGATCCCAGGACACCAGGGCTCTGTCCGAACTGGAGCAGCTTCTCCCAGGAACCCCTGTCCAGCCACCAGGAGTCACAGCCAGACCCTGTCAGATGCCCCCTTCACCACGTGCCCAGAGGGTACGTCATAAGCCAATATTTCAAGCAATGTAAGGTTTGGCTCGGGGGAATAGACAAAGTGCCAGTGGGTTTCTACAACAGCCAGACAACACGTTTATTGAACAACTACTATGTGTCCAGCACTATGCCAGGTAGTAAGGGCACACACAGAGGGACACAGTCTAGAAAGAGAGACAAAAACAAATCATCACAGTAGGGTAGGATAAATGCAGAGGTAAAGAGATATTCTCAGTCACACAGGCCAGAGCGGAAGGAGTGATTCTTTCAGTCTGGAGAAGAGAGGAGGTGACATTCAAGCCGGATCTGGGAAGTGGATCAGAAGTTTGTGGCCAGAGAAGGAGAGGAAAGGCATTCCCAGCAGAGAGAGCAGGGGGCCCACAGTCACGAAGGCGTGGAAGCACATGGCATGTTTAGGAAATGCCGGTATGTTGGGTGCAGGTTCAGGTCATTGAGAGTAATTTGAAACCAGATTGTGAAAGGCCTGAAATGCCAAGCTAAAAAAAAAAAAGGAATTTGCCTTTTAAACAACGGGGAACCATCAGAGAGCCTCCTGCAGGAGAGTGATGGGGTCAGGGGTGCAAGCTCCATGGATCGCCCTGGCCGCTGCACGGCAGATGGATAGCAGGGGCCTGAACCGGGGTGGGGCAGTGGGGGTGGAGGAGAGAGGACAGAGCCAGGCGACCCTCAGGCTGTGCTTGATGACTAACCCAGGGAAAGCCAGAGGGCGAGTCGGTTCTCACTGACGTTCGTGGATGACGAGAACACAGAGGGGGTGGATGGGGTAATAGAGACAACACATTCCAATTCAGACAGCTGAAAACCGCAAAACGGCAAACACCCTCCTTCCTGGAGTCTGAGACCACAGGTGCCCAAGGAGAAAAAATCAACCAGAATTTACAGCAGTAAACACAGAAGCTAAGCTCCAGCACCCTCAGGATGCCTCTCCCATGAGCAGAGTCCTCTCCCAACCCCCTGTTCCCTCTCCCTTGGCCATCCAGGGCTTCTCAGCCCCCACTTGGCCATGACACTCACAGGCATCAAGGCGACTCCAGGGGGGTGTGAAATGTTTACTGTAGCCACTGCTTACTCCCACTCAGGAAGCCATGTGTATGCAAGCAGAGAAAATGACTCTTCCGGCATGCCTTTGTATCTGCCCTGATGGCTTTCCTAGGACAGATCATTTGCAGATTTTAGTTTTTTTTTTTTTAATGAGTTACTTAGTAACTGGTCACAACAATCATTTTTTGTTTTTTGGTTTTTTTATTTTATTTTATTATTTTATTTTATTTTATTTTATTTTATTTTATTTTATTTTATTTTATTTTATTTTATTTTATTTTATTTTGAGATGGAGTCTTGCTCTGTCACCCAGGCTGCAGTGCAGTGGTGCAATCTCAGCTCACTGCAACCTCTGCCTCCTGGGTTCAAGAAATTCTCCCATCTCAGCCTCCTGGGTAGCTAGAACCACAGGTATGTGCCACCATGCCCGGTTAATTTTTGTATTTTTGGTAGAGATGGGGTTTCGCCATGTTCATCAGGTTGGTCTCAAACTCCTGACCTCGAGATCCGCCCATCTTGGCCTCCCAAAGTACTGGGATTACAGGCGCGAGCCACCGCGCCTAGCTAGCTGCAACACTCCTTTTCAAGATGCCAAGGTTGACAGTCACTGCTCTCTGCCTTAGGTACCCAGGGAAATGAGCATTTTGGCATCTCAAAGAGCACGTTTACTTAGCCTAGTGATATTGCCATCCTGCTTTGGTGATGTCCCATAGTATCACTAACTGTACCCCCAGATCTATCAAATTCTGCAAAATATTCTCAGAACAAAATTCATGTTAATTTCATAGGCACTGGAACGTTAAAGACCCTCCGAGGTGATTCAGTCCACCTGGTCCCCTCTGGGCTTCAGTTGTCCCAGATCAGAATCAAGACCCAAGCCCCCTACTCCCAGGGGCTCTTCTGCCCAGATCTGCTGTTTTCCTCTCCTTCATGGTTTCTGACATTTTCTTTTCCAAGCTGAATATACCCCTAAGGAATTCTTAGGATTTTGAAGCCAGAGGAGAATGTGATATCAAACCTGATGCATCTGAGAATTCCTTGTTTATCTCTTATTTCAGTTCTCACCAAGGGACTCAACGTTAGATTTGGGAAACCATTTTTCCTTAAACGGAGGTTGTATCTATTCATTTTTTCTCATTACCAAGGATACAAGGGTGCTTCTGAGTTCCAGATGCACCAAACCCTGGCATTTTTCTGTTTGATTTTCCCTCTCATTGGCAGTTTGGAGATACAGTGGGGTTAGGGTCTGGGATGGTGGTTGGATGAGACCTTGGAGCAAAAGAGTAGGGAAGGGTCTCCAGGCTCCTCTGGTGCACATCCCTCAGATCCCCTCTGTACAGCCCACAGCATCCCCCTTCTCTGTCTGTCTCCAGGACCCGTCAGGGACATGCAGCCCACCATGAAGTTCGTGATGGACACATCTAAATACTGGTTTAAGCCAAACATCACCCGAGAGCAAGGTAAAAGGAAGCATGAGTGACCCCAGAAACGGGTCTGGGTCTTGCACTTTGCATCAGGCAGAGCCCTGGGTCACAGTTAAGGAAAGGCAAATAGTGGGTCCAGGGAAGCAAGCAGGGGGTGGGGGTCTGCTGACCTCATGACCTCCCAAGGAAGTAGGAACCACAGCAAGAATGATAGAGATCTGACAGTAGAAAGAACTTCATGGGGACAAAAGCTGACTCTGCCACATCTGCTCTGTGAAGACCCTACGGGGCTAGGGACAGAGGGTGTCCAGGTGGGGCAGTGTCCATCTCTGACTCAAAGATTGTTCCAGCAATCGAGCTGCTGAGGAAGGAGAAGCCAGGGGCTTTTGTCATAAGGGACAGCTCTTCATACCGAGGCTCCTTCGGCCTGGCCCTGAAGGTGCAGGAGGCCCCCGAATCTGCCCAGAACCGACCAGGTATGCATCTGTCTCTGTGTTCACTCAAAGCCTCATTGAGGCAGCGGGCTATGCTAGGTTCCAGTCCTGGCTCTGCCACTAGCTTTCAGGGTGAGCTGGCGCCAGTCTTATAACAGCTCCTAGGAGAAGTGTCCACCCCAGTATTCCCCCAGATGCCCTCCAGCCCCAAGGCACCCTGAAAAACGCCTTTCACAGCAAGCCTGAGTGCTTCTGCCTTCCCAAGCCCCCCCCCCAGTTTTCCCTGCTTTTTCCTTCTCATGGTGGGAGAGAAGGAGGGGGTCCGAACCCCCTCTAGGCTGCTCTCTTTGGAGTCAAACCGGATTCGTTTCCAGGGAACCTGATGTATGATTACACAGGTGTGTGACAGCTCATCACGTGTGTGTACTAGCTCAGCACACATGTGTGTGCTCCCTTCTCGTATGCTTTCCCGTGGTCTCCCGTGCTCATTTGATCACTCAGCAAACATCTATGGGGCATCCACCACACACCGGGCCCTGTACGAGGCGGCAGGGATACAGAGGAATCAGAAGCAGACGTCACCTCACTAGGGAGACAGATGAAAACAGATGATTACAGTACCAGGTACCTGGGCCTCACTCAGACCCCAGGATCGCACCCTCTTATTTAATGGATGAGGTAACAGAGGCTCCCAGAGTTACTTAATGACCCCAGAGCAATTAAGTGATAAAGGGAGGATGATACACGCAGTCTTGTGTTCTTGTCAGTGTGCTTCACTGTCACAATTAGAAAGTGATATCTGGGGAGGGTGTTGCTTATAAAGGACCACTTGCAAGAGGCAATGAGCCCAGACTGAGGAGGATGCCGTGGGCTGGTGGAAGGGAGTCAGAAGATAGCTTTTTGCCCCCCCTTCCCCCGGGGACCAGCCTGGCTCCAGCAGAGATGACCTCGTGGGCAGGGGGAGACAGAAGCCAGACCAAAGGGTTGATTTTTAGCTAAACAATCATTAAGAAGTGTCCTTGCCGGGCACAGTGACTCACGCCTGTAACCCCAACACTTTGGGAGTCCGAGGCAGGAGGATCATTGAGCCCAGAAGTCTGAGATCAGCTTGAGCAACATGGCAGAACCCTGTCTCTATGAAAACTACACAAATTACCCAGGTGTGGTGAGCACACCTCAGCTACTTGGGAGGCTGAGGCAGGAGAATCCCTTGAACCCAGGAGGTCATTGAGGCTGTAGTGAGCCATGATCACACCACTGCACTCCTGCCTGGACCACAGAATAAGACCCTGTCTCAAAAAAAAAAAAAAAAAAAATACCTAGGCCTCTTGGTGTCTCACACCTGTAATCCCAGCATTTTGAGAGGCCGAGGCAGGAGAAACACTTGAGCTCAGGAGTTCGAGACCAGCCTGAGCAATATAGTGAGAACTTGTCTCTACAAAAAAATAAGCCAGACATGGTGGGGCACACCTGTAGTCCCAGCTACTCAGGAAGCTGAGGTGGGAGGATTCCTTGAGCCCAGGAGGTTGAAGCTGCAGTGAGCTGGGATTGCGCCACTGCAGTCCAACTTAAGAGAGAAAGTGAGACCCTGTCTAAAAAAAAAAAAAAAAAAAAAAAAGGAAAAAACCGTGATAACTTTTGACCGAGAGAAAGATTTCCCCACCTCACCCCCCCAAAAAAAGAGAAGAGAACGGTTTCCTGAAGAGGGGGAGGCTGAACCCAGGAGCCTTTGAGCAGACATGTTGGTACCTCTTCTGTGGGAGAGAGAGGCAGGGGATGGACAGGTGGAATTTCTTTTTTTTGGTGGGGGGTAAGACCAAGTCTCACTCTGTCACCCAGTCTAAGTAGCCGGGACTACAGGCATGTGCCACCATGCCCGGCGTTTTTTGTTTGTTTGTTTGTTTGTTTTTTTGTATTTTTAGTAGAGATGGGGTTTTACCATGTCAGTCAGGCTGGCCTCGAACTCCTTACCTCAAGTGATCCTGCTACCTTAGCATCGCAAAGTGCTGCGAGTGACCAAGCCTGGCCACAAGGTGGAATTTCTTTTCCTTTCTTTTCCTTTTTTGAGATAGAGTTTTGCTCTGGAGTGCAATGGCGCGATCTTGGCCCACCACAACCTCTGCCTCCTGGGTTCAAGCGATTCTCCTGCCTCAGCCTCTTGAGTAGCTGGGATTACAGGCCTGTGCCACCACACCTGGCTGATTTTATACTTTTAGTAGAGACGAGGTTTCTCCATGTTGGCCAAGCTGATCTTGAACTCCCGACCTCAGGTGACCCACCCACCTCAGCCTCCCAGAGTGCTGGGATTACAGATGTGAGCCACAGCGCCCCCCGCCACGAGGTGGCATTTCTATCCGAATGCGCTCTCTTCTTTCTCTATCCAGGCGAGGACAGCAATGACCTTATCCGACACTTCCTCATCGAGTCTTCCGCCAAAGGAGTGCATCTCAAAGGAGCAGATGAGGAGCCCTATTTTGGTGAGACTCCCCAGCCTCCAGGCTCCCTGAGGACAGGGGGCCAGTGAAGTCTCCGTCGTGCGCTGGGTGGGCCGGGAGAGCCCGACTCATGCGAGGCTGCTTGCTTCCCTTCAGGGAGCCTCTCTGCCTTCGTGTGCCAGCATTCCATCATGGCCCTGGCCCTGCCCTGCAAACTCGCCATCCCGCAGAAAGGTGAGTCTGGACCCCAAAGAAGCAATGCCAAGGTGGGGGACCTGTTCGTTCTCACTAGAAATTGTCTCTACTTCTACCTTGTTTGTGGATTGTTTTAGTGTCACAGTTAAAACTGCATGCACGGGCCAGGCATGGTGGCTCACGCCTGTAATCCCAGCACTTTGGGAGGCTGAGGTGGGGGATCACAAAGGTTAGGAGTTCAAGACCAGCCTGGCCAAGATGGTGAAACCCTGATTCTACTAAAAATACAAAAATCAGCCAGGCACGGTGGCAGGCACCTGTAATCCCAGCTACTTGGAAGGCTGAGGCAGAGAATTGCTTGAACCCAGGAGGCAGAGGTTGCAGTGAGCTGAGATCACACCACTGCACTCCAGCTTGAGTGACAGAGCGAGACTCCATCTCAAAAAATAAATAAATAAATAAATAACTGTACGCACTGGAGTCACTCAACATCTCTACTTCCTAACTGTGAAAATGTGAGAATGTTGACCTCTCTGAGCCTCAGTTTCCTCATCTATAAAATGGGGGTAATCATCATCGTACCTACTTATAGAATTGCTGTGCAGACTAAGTGGGATAGCCTGAGCAAGGCCCTTAGCACAATGCCTGGCATAAAATGGATGTTGGATAAATCACAGCCTGCTTTGAGAGGATGAAAGAGCTTCAATCAGTTTGGGGAGGTTTTGTCTTTCCAGGTCCAAAATTTGTTGAGCGCTCACTCACCCATTCATGCTTCACTACAACCTTGTGAAGTAGACTTTGCTGTTATCATCGACATGGTGAAACCCCATCTCTACTAAAACTACAAAAAATTAGCCGGGCGTGGTGGTGAGCGCCTATAATCCCAGCTACTCTGGTGGCTGAGGCAGGAGAATCAGCCTCCTGAGTAGCTGGGATTATAGGCGCTCACGACCACACCTGGCTAATTTTTTGTATTTTTGGTAGAGATGGGGTTTCGGGGTTTCACCATGACAGCTCCTGCCGTATGCCCTGAGCCCGGGAGGTGGAGGTTGCAGTGAGCTAAGATTGCGCCACTGCACTCCAGGCTATGCGACAGAGCGAGACTACATGTCAAAAAAAAAAAAAAAAGAAAAAGAAAAAGAAAGAAAGAAAAGAAAGGAAAATGAGAGTTTTAGATGTTAAGCACTTTGCCCAAAGGCCCACAGAGTCAGAACTTGAACTCAGATCAGCATGCCCTATCCAGGGCGTGCCGCCGGTGGGCAGCTCGGATGGACCAGCTCATCTCAGAGGTGTGCAGGAGAAGCTCGAGAAGGGCAGTTTCTGGGAAGGGCAGCGGGGCAGGGGAGCCCCAGAGGAGTGATGGCGAGAACCTCCTCGCTTTCTGCAGACAGGCCAGGGGTTGGGACAGGGACCAAAAGAAGTGAGGAGGTCAGACGACAAGGTCACAGCAGTCTTCTAGGAGGTGGGGGGCGAAGAGGGGAAGGAGAGATAAAAGTCTTGCAAACTAAGCATTTAGGGAGCCCAAGGTGGCCCGTTTGCCTAATTACGGTAATCACACCTGGTTTGAGTTACTTCCTGGAGGTGGGGGCAGAGGTGAGAGGCCTTCAAAGGGATTAACAGGCCTGTTCCTGTGAGAGTGTCCGTTCACTCCACCCCTGCCCTTTCGAGGGCCTGTTGCTTTGTCTTGGCTCAGAACTGGGAGGTGCAGACGGGGCATCGGACTCTGCAGACAGCCCAGCCTCCTGCCAGAAGAAATCTGTGGGTGAGTGGTACAGGCCGTTAGGCGCCAAGCTTGGCTGTGCCCGGAGAGGGCACCTTCCAACCCCTTCACACACGCACGCACGCACACACGCACAGGCCCACACATGTTTCCCATCTCAGCTTTGTTTCTGCATCTTTAACAAGGTGCCACACCCCACCCCACCCCCACCAACCCCTGTAAAACAGAAGATGAGAGGCTGCGGGCACTGGGCCAGCAGAGAAGTGGGGTGGGGTGGGGGAGTGGCAGAACTCGCACTCCCTCCTGCATATACACAGGCACGTGCAGATGTGCTAGGGTCTCTCTGTGTCTGCAGAACCTACCCTGCAGGTGGTCTCTGGCCTGGGATCCTCTGTGGAGTGTGGGTCTGAGTCCTGGAGCCTTCACCCTGGGAAAGGTCCCTGGCCCACATTCCCAGAGGTCAGCACAGATCAGCACTTGTCTCAGTGACAGCTCCTGCCCTATGCCCCGAGTGTCTTCCGTCCCCATGGTTGTCAATGAGCCAAGACCTCCCGGGTAGGGGTGTGGGGAGGAGGGCAGCCGTGAAGTGTGGACAGAAGGACATTTTCCAGGGCACTCCTGCACACAGGGCAACTTCCCCTCCCCTGCCCCATGCTGGAGGGCCAGGGACCAGGGTGATCAAAGCCACCGAAGATCCCAAAGTCCTCTGGGATTGGCCTCAAAGTGTGGTCACGCACGCACCCACTTCCTGTTGGGTGGCTCTAAGAGGAGCCCCACTAGATTCCTGAAGAGGAGACTCAGCCCCTCCCCAGCTCTGGGCAGAGGGAGGATCTGGGCCTGGGTCAGCGGCCCCAGCATGGTATCTGCCTTCCACAGGCTGCCACACCCTGTACCTGAGCTCGGTGAGCGTGGAGACCCTGACTGGAGCCCTGGCTGTGCAGAAGGCCATCTCCACCACCTTTGAGAGGGACGTCCTCCCCACACCCACCGTGGTCCACTTCAAAGTTACAGAGCAGGGCATCACCCTGACCGATGTCCAGAGGAAGTAAGAGCCTTCCCTTGCCCTGGGGCTGCGGGGCTGGCGGAGTAGAGCTGGAGGGGATAGCTGAGACAGCCATGAATCAGGGATGAAGGTGGAGTTCAAGGTCCTGGTGACCCAGTAGGGCCAGTGATGTGCTGAGTGACTCCAGGTAACTTCCCTGCCTTCTCCAGGCCGCGCTCCACTGCCAAAGCCGCTGTTCATCGTGACTGATGAAAATGGAGTCAACTAGTATTCACGGGTGCTGATTATGCCTGCACCCATTGCTGGAACATCTTCCCTAGGCCAGACTCGGGCTGACCACGGGACCCAGAGAGGAATGAGATTGTTCCTTCCCTGGGCTTGGGCTCGCACAGTGTGACAGGCGCCTGTTCCAGGGCTGGGCACTCCCTTTTATTACAGGGAGAAATGAGAGATGACCAGGACATAATTCATGTCCTCAAAAAGTTAGGGGCCAAAAGAAAGTTAAATGGTGTGGTAGAGGTGTGATAGAAAAGCCCGGAGTGTGAGACAGGCAGAAATGCTCCATGAGAAGAGAGAGGCAGGAGCGGGGCGCCCGGGGCCCCACGGTGGCAAAGGCCATAGTGGCCGTCGAGGTCTAACTCAGACTTCTTGGAGGACAGGGCACCTGAGCTTGGGGAAACAAGAGCTGACGGAGGCAGGGTGACACTGGGACCGGCTCTCACCGCTTCCCTTCTCTCCCTGCCTCCTCGCAGGGTGTTTTTCCGGCGACATTACCCACTCACCACCCTCCGCTTCTGTGGTATGGACCCTGAGCAACGGAAGTAAGTTCAAGGCTGAGCTAAACTCAGAAGGCCGTCCAGGGCCCAGCTGCCCACCAAGGTCTCCTGCCCACTCTGGGACTGGGATCCCAGAGAGAGCCTGTGAACCTCAAGGGGTCAGGGCGACAGAATGAGGGCCGGGTGGGGCGTGGTGGGGCGTGGTGGGGCGTGGTGGGGCGTGGTGGGGTGAGGACGCAGCTGGCCAGTCCCTTCTGCGGCTCCTCCCACGTCCTGTGGCACGGAGCGGAGCCTCATTACTTCGTATCATGTTCTTTTCCCACAGGTGGCAGAAGTACTGCAAGCCCTCCTGGTAAGACCTTCCTGTCTACTCGATCACCAAAGACAGGTCCTTGTCTCAGGGCCCCAGACCCAACATGGGGAGGGAATTAGAGTAGGAAAGAGGCCCCATTCTGACTTTAATAGTCCAAAGTGTTGACGAGGGCACAGTCCCTGGTCCACCAGGAGCGCCCATCTGATGGGAGAGACTTTGCCCTCAGAGCACCTCTGGGCTGATGGGGGCCATGTGAGCCTGGGAGCCCTCAATCTTCTGCAAGAGGTACATGCTCCAACTTCAGGGAGCCTCAATCTATTGGAATGTCACAGTCTGATGATAGAGATGCATCCTTGCTCTCAGGAATCTTCCACTCTAATGGGGAACACACAGATCCTGTTCTCAAGGAGCCCCCATTCAAAACAAAGGAAACCCAGAGCTTGCTCTCAGAAATCTCCCAGTCTGGCGGGAGAGGCACCTCCCTCCTCAGGGAGCCCCATCATAAGGAGGTGCTGGAGCAAACTGGCTGAGGGAGGGGTAAGGAGGAATGAGATGCAGGCTGAGGGCCCCCACCATCCCCTTCCCATCAGCCTGATGCCTCCCTGGGTCCCACCCCTCACTCAGACTGCCCTCCCCCACCAGGATCTTTGGGTTTGTGGCCAAAAGCCAGACAGAGCCTCAGGAGAACGTGTGCCACCTCTTTGCGGAGTACGACACGGTCCAGCCAGCCTCGAAGGTCATCAGCCTGGTGACTGCTCTGCTGCAGGATGCAGAAAGGATGTAGGGGAGGGACTGCCTGTGCACCTGCCTGACGCCTCCAGGGGCGTGCTCAGGAGCCCTCCTGTACCCCCTGAATGGGTGTGGCTTGTGGCCATATTGGATTGGCATCAATTCAATTGGGATTGGCATCAAGTTGACACCCTGGAACCTGCTGTGGCCTTCAGCAGTCACCATCATCCAAACCCCCCGGGCCTCAGTTTCCTCAACCGTAGAAGGAGACCAATAGACAAAATCAGCTGTTCTCAGATGCTGGCAGGCATCCTGATGAATGAACGCGCTGAGAGTTCGTCATGATGAACATGCTCCTCCGTGATTCTGAAGCATGCCCACATCTGAGGACCCCGCCATGAAAATAACCTCTGAGAACCCTCTGACCCCATCGACCTGGGCTCTGTGGACACCATAGTCTGAGCGAGAGACCTGCGGCCCCTGTTTCATGGCAGACAGCAGGTGCCTGGCGGTGACCCATAGGGCTCCAGGCCTGCAGCTGGTGATGGTCAAGGATTGACCACAAAACGGGAATGGATAGACTCTGTTTTCTTCCATATCTGTTCCTTTCCTGACTTTCTGGATGACTCTTTGGATCCACCTGGCCAGGATGCTGCAGGCCAAGCTGGGTGTGGTATTTAGGGCAGCTCAGCTGGGGAACGTGCCCCCATGATCAGAGGAGACACAGCTGTCCTGCACCCCCTTGCAGATGAGTATCACTCCATCTTTTTTTTCCATTTCTTTTTTTAGATGGACTCTTGCTCTGTTGCCCAGGCTGGAGTGCAGTGGCATGATCTCAGCTCACTGCAACCTCTGCCTCCCAGGTTCAAGCGATTTTCCTGCCTCAACCTCCCAAGTAGCTGGGATTACAGGCATGTGCCACCACACCTGGCTAATTTTGTATTTTAAGTAGAGACAGGGTTTCACCATGTTGGCCAGGCTGGTCTTAAACTCCTGACCTCAGATGATCCACCCACCTCAGCCTCCCAAAGTGCTGGGATTACAGGCCTGAGCTGCTGCATCTGGCCTCTTTCCGTTTTTTGATAGGTGAGTATTCCAAATCGGGTGTCATGTCCGCCCTAATGTTGCCTATTAGGAGGTGGGGGCAGAGATCAGGGCCATCTTTCTGTGGTTCTGCCTCAGCTCCAGTCTTGCTGAACCCTCCTTCAACCCAGGCTACAACACACACACCACACACACACACACACACACACACACACACACACACACACGCACACACACACGCACACACACATATGCTCCTCTACTGCTATGTGGCGTCAACCAGCCTCACAGCCACATGGGGACAGCAGAGAGTCAAGAATGCAAAGAGGCCGCCTCCCTAAGAGGCTCGGAGAAGCTGGGCTGATTCCCACCCCCACCCCACCCCCACCCAGCCTCCAGAAGCTGGAACCATTTCTCTCGAAGGCCTGAGTTCCTAAAGAAACCACACTACCGGAGTGGAAGGGAGAGTCAGGGAAGAAGCCCACTCCTGCTCTGTGAGGAGCAAGCGTGGGCCCCCTCCCAGCGGCCAGCCCTGCCAAAGCTGCATTATCTTTGGCCAAGGTTGGGCCTGAGGTTATGATTTCAGCCCTGGGCCTGTGGGGGAGGCTGAGCTGAGCCCATCCAGCCTGTGGTCCGGCACTGCCCAGCCGCCAAAGTCTGCAGAACGTGAAATGAGGTTCTCAAGGTCACAGCGCCTAGTCCCAGCCTGGGGGCCGGCAGAGGCCCCCGTATACTCCTGTACTGCTCCTATCATGAAAAATAAAGTGTTAGTCTGCAAAACAGTAGGTTCTGAGGCAGTTGGGGCTGTGGCCTGGGAGATGGAGACCTGAACAGAGAAGAGTTCCTGACTTGGGAGGGCGTGGCTGTGTCTTAGGGGTGACCGGGTGTGCCACACTCCCTGCCACACGCCTGGCCACGCCACTCCAGGCTCAGCACACTGCCACTTCTAAACCATTGCTTCAGTCACTCTGTGTCCCCCATACACCCAACACGCTTGTTCTTTCTTCATCACCCCTTTCCTGCCACTCTGCCAGGGAAACAGAAGGCTTGTGATTTTCCAGAGCCAAAGTGAGTGTGTCTGGTGCCCCGATGGACTCCAAGGTCTCACCCAGCCTCCCCGGAGAGACAAGGAGAGGCGGCAAAACATGACCCCCTCACGAGGAGTCCAGAAGAGTCCCCGAACCCAGATGGCCCCAGAGCTACCAGCTCAGCCCTGGGGAACTGGACTGTGGTCAGGCACGGTGGCTCACACCTATAAAACCAGCACTTTGAGAAGCCAAATAGGGAGGATGGATTGAGCCCAGGAGTTCGAGACCAGCCTGGGCAACGTAGGGAGACCCTGTCTCTACAAAAAATACAAAAAGTTAGCCAGGCGTGGTGGCATGTACCTGGAGTCCCAGCTACTCGGAAGGCTGAGGTGGGAGGATCACTTGAGCCTGGGAGGTCAAGGCTGCAGTGACCTGTGGTTGTGCCACTGCACTCCAGCCTGGGTGACAGAGTGAGACCCTATCTCAAAAAAAAAAAAAAAAAAAAAAAAAAAAAAAAAAAAAAAACAACTGGTCCATGGCCTCTTGTTCCCACCCTGGGTTTGGGGAGTTCTACCCCCAGCTTCTTCCAGTGGCAGTCTGCCCCTCAACCCCGAGTCCCAGAGGAATGTCCCCTCCCAGACCTGCTCCAGACTTCACTGCAACAAGGTTGCCAAGGCTGGCATGCCCTGAGAAGGCCTCAGCAAGGATGCCAGAGAGGCTGCAGCCCCTCTGCACTTCGGCAGGACTTTGGGAATGGAGAGCACCTCCTTCCGTCGGGGCTGAGCCCTGTGACCCAGTGGCAGGGGCAGGGCCCAGGGTCCAGGACCCATGAAAAGAACTTCCCAATGGCCTTGAACCACCGCCAAGTAGCCCCTGCCTCCCGTTCCACTGCCCCAGGGCCGTTCCAGATGCAGACTCCTCTCCGTTCCTTGCCCTGGCCCCGCTTGGCCCAGCCTCAAACAGAGTTCCTGGAAGGCGATCATTTCTGCTGCATTGGCCATAGCTCATGTTTCCCCTGAGAAGATTTAGCAGAAAACTTAGGACTTTTGCTGAGGGCCAAGCAGCCGGCTGGCAGGGGTGGGACGGCTGGAGGGGGGAGGGGAGGAAGAATAGCCACTGAGCCAGGAATCAGGAGGGGCAGAGCTATCATATCCACACAGGGACACCAGTGTTCTGTCCAGGAGGCTCCAGGCCCAGTAGCCCTTGGTCTTGCCCCTGCCTCAGGGCCCCCTCCACTGTCTCTCCCCCTGGTCTCTCCACCCTCCCCATTCCTTTCTTGATCTCCATACATGGCCCACCACCCACCCTCCCTCCTTCTCTCCTCCTCCCATTTCCCCTCTCTTTCTCACCCTCTCTCCTCAGATGCCTTGTCTACCTGATCACCCCTTTACAGAGAAACCTGTCCTCCTTCTTGCTCTTTTCCTCGGCCCTTTGTCCCGGGTGGCTGGACACAGCAGAGGCCAGTTGCTGCTGGAGTTCGTGAGAAGGGAGCCGGGAGCCTCCTGCACTGCCAATCATTTCTCAAAACCAGGTTCCACTTTGAGACCCACCTGGCCAACATGGTGAAACCCTGTCTCTACAAAAAAATACAGAAATTAGCCAAGCATGGTAGCATACCTGCAGTCCCAGCTACTTGGGAGATTGAGGCATGAGAATTGCTTGAAACCTGGGAGTTGGAAGTTGCAGTGAGCCGTGATCATTCCGCTGCACTCTAGCATCTTAACAGAGCAAGATGCTGTCTCCAAAAAAAAAAAAAAACACTTCAGGTTCCCACACCCACTAAACCCTGCCTCCTCTCAGACTACAGAGACCTCTCCAGGAGGCTGAACTGCCCTTACCCTAACCATCTGACCAGCCACTGCCCCATGCCCAGGCCCCACCAAGGGCTGAGGCCACTCACTGCTCTGTTTTATCTTTGGCCTATGATCCTTCACTCTCTTTTTTTTTCCCCAAGAACGGAGTTTTGCTCTTGTTGCCCAGGCTGGAGTGCAGTGGCACGAAATCAGCTCACCGCAACCTCCACCTCCTGTGTTCAAGCAATTCTGCCTCAGCCTCCCGAGTAGCTGGGATTACAGGCATGCACTACCACGTCTGGCTAATTTTGTATTTTTAGTAGAAACAGGGTTTCTCCATGTTGGTCAGGCTGGTCTCAAACTCCAGACCTCAGATGATCCACCCGCCTCAGCCTCCCGAAGTGCTGGGGTTACAAGTGTGAGCCACCACCCCCAGCCTTGTTCCTTCACTCTTGTGCCATGCAATGGTCCAAGGGCTTAGGTCCAGTGCAGGGGTGGGATTAAGGGCTTTCAACCCAAGGGACAATGCCTTGATTCATGCAATAAGTGTTTTCTGGCTGTGTGCTTTATTCGTGTGAACCAGGAAAACAGAAAGCTATGAAAGTGTTTATAAGTGCCATGCACAGCTGGCCAAAGGAGTAGAAACAGAAAGATAAACTTTACCCACTGGAAGGGAAAGAGGACAATGTTACCAGGAAGGTAACATTTGAGTTGGGTTTTCAAGGATGAATAGTTCAGCATGCAAAATGGGGTAGAAACCAACTTTTAGGAGCGGGAGAGACTCTTAGGTGCTAAACATAATCTGAGACACATTACATATGCCTAATACCATTTTACAGATTAGAAAACGGGCTCAGAGGGTTAACTTGGCCACATTCACCTAAATATAAATGGCAGAGAAACAATATTTGAAGTCCATGCCCACCCTGTTGCCCCAACATTCACAGAAAGCAAATGGAGACGTTAGTGTTTGACGTACACAGGTATGAAGAGGTGTACCATGTTTGGTGTGGCCCAAGTACCTGGTACCTAAGGGAGTAGGTGGGAGAGAAAGCAGAAGAAAGAGGCAGGAACAGGACCCTCAAGACCCTTGGGTGCCAGCTGAGAATGTCTGGAAATTGAACACTCGCTGAATGAATGAGACTCAGCCCTGCTATGTATGAATGTGTGAGCTATGCAGTACACGGTCATACACGGCACCTTGCTCAGGCTTTATCCTGTAGGTAATGCGGATGAGGTAGAAAGTGGAACAGGGACACAGGTTGGACTGAGGACTAGCTAAAACAGGGATGGGGTGGGAGGAGCTTTCCCTAAGACACACCCACCAGTGTGTCATGTCAGTTTACCATTGCCATGGCAACACCCAGACGTTACCACCCCTTTCCATGGCAGCAACAACCTGATGACCCAGAAGTTACCGCCCTTTTTCTACAAAGCTCAGCATAATCTGCCCCTTAACTTGCACGTGTTTAAAAGTGGGTACAAATGAGTGCAGAAGCTGCTGAGCTGCAACCCTCAGCACACTGTGGTAGCCCTGCTCTGCAGGAGCAGTCACGGGGCTGTGATCCTCCACCTCTATAAAGCTGCTTTCTTCTACCACTGCCTGCCCTCGAATTATTCCCTGAGTGAAGCCAAGAACCCTCCCAGGCTAAGCCCCAGTTTGGGGCTCACCTGCCCTGCATCAGGGAGACGTTTCAGCTACGGAGTAATTGATCAGATT